CCGCCTCTTCGACCTGTTTGTTTCCTCTCCACCTATCCTCTCCTCTATCCCTCTTCTATCCGCCTCCCACTCTCTCCCTATTTATTTCAAAACCCCCTTCCCCTCCCCCTTTTCTGATGAAGGGTCTAGGCCCGAAACGTCAGCCTCTCTGCTCCTATGATGCTGCTTGGCCTGCTGTGTTCATCCAGCCCTGCACCTTGTTGTCTCTGTCCTTCTGTTATCTTTGGTGTCATCTGCAGATTTAACAACAATGCCCTCAGTTCCTTCATCCAGATTGTTAATGTTTTGCATGAATAGTTTTGGTCTCAATACTGACCCCTGCAGAACTCCACTAGCTACCGCTACCATCATGAAAAGATGCCTTTATCCCCACTCTCTGCCTTCTGCCAGTCAGCCAATCCTCTATCCATGCCAGTACCTTGCCCCTAACACCACAGTTCTTATCTTATTTAGCAGCCTCCTGTGTGATGCCTTGTCTGAAGCATTCTCGAAATCCAAATAGATCATATTCACTGGCTCTCCATTGTCTAACTTGCTCGTTACCTCCTTCTACTAGTTTTATGACTTTTACTTTTCATGTTGTAGTGCTTTCCCTCCTAACTTGAAAGGTCTGACACTAATATTTAGCAGTCTTGGTGCTAGACTTCCCGACCCAAAGAAATAATTACTGTCGCTCTCCCATGTGTTTCCCCTAGATATCTTTAAATATCCATCAAATCATCCCTTAACCTTCTAAACTACATGACATGCAATCTTATTTCATGTAATCCTTGTCTATTGTTTAGCCAATAAGTCTGGCTATAATTCTGTAAATCTGCCCTGTACTCCTTCCAAAGCAATTTATCTTGAACTGTTTGAAGTGCACCAGGTGCTGTCTTAAGTACACTGCCACTACTTCTTGAAAGATAATCTCTTCTGAAATATTTCTTTTGTTCCAACAGTGAATGGTTCAGGACCTGTCCATATTGTTTATGTACCATCTCATCTCTACCATATGCTGTTTGAACTTTTCAAAGTAAGAAACCAGCTGTTAAACTTTTATATATTGCAATGTGATGTTGTGCAATAATATTGTTAAAATATTATCACATTCCAGAAGAAATATCTCTCCCTTTTCTTTTGACAAGAAGTTTAAGTAAATCGTGTCTTAAGTTAAAATATGTACAAAATATAAAGGAACTAGTCAAAGACCATGTATGCAAAATACATTCTTATCCAAGATACTCAGCTAAGGGTTGTCTGTTTTATTATCGCTTATTTATCCTTTTTTTTTAAAAAACATCTTCCTCCATTTCTACGTAAGTGCTTTCAGTGCTGAAGCCTGGTGAGAGAAAACTCTAACTGAGAGTTATTCGCTTTTATAAAATCTTTAGTGTCGTGGCCATTGAGCAAAGTGCCTTCTTTCTTAATAACATGTATTATTAAAGTGCAAATTTAATCAGATTTGTGCTACAATAGTCTGATAGCCCAGACGATTTAAATCCTGTTCATTACTTTGTCCGTAAGAGAAAGTGAGCAAGAACAGGGTGAAGCATAAGCAAATCGGAGGTGCAACTTAAGATTCGGATGAGAACGATAGCTTTGGGAGGGAATGAGTCGACACTGAAGTGTTACATGGGAATAGACCATGATTACTGTGGTACAAAGGACAACACAAATCAATACATTCGTCTATTAGTTAATGGACTGTATGCTAAAAAGTACAACTTGTGTATAGTTCTACATTGTAACTCCTAAAGTTCAGTAATGTTGTATTTCTTGTTGCAGTGAATGTTAGTACCTCATTTATTAACCATTACTGTAACTATAGTATTAAAAAAATAAAAGTATTGTGGATGCTGGAGATGTGAAGTAAAAACACAAGCTGCTGGAGAAACGCCGTAGATCTGGCAGCATCTGTGGAGAGAAACACAGTTAATGATTTCAGGTCCAGGGTTAATGTTTCCAGTCCAGTTAATGTTCTTTGGAATCGTCTTGTACTCAAAACATTAACTGTGTTTCTCTGCGCACAGATGCTGCCATACCAGCAGAGTTTCTACAGTACTTCGTTTATATTAATAAACTAGTATTCCTGTTGGAAAGTATTGCTTATATATATCCAGTAAAATGTTCTCATACATTCATTCTACATTTAGTAACATAATTAAGCAATTTTTTAGAAGTTCATTTCAATAATGTGACCATCTTGTGTTTAATCAGTTGACTTTTATTACTTTTCTGCCTCGCAATGAATTGTTATTCCTGTGCTTCCAAAAAGTAAAAACATTCAGTGACATGTCTTTTTATTCAAGAATGCTATGAGAGCTACTGTAGAAAATCATGAATCCAGTCCTAGCCTTCCATCTATCAAAGTGAAAGTCGCACTGGGCGGTGAAGATGTCACAGTTAAGGTGAAAATACTTTGTTTTACATTTCGGAATTACTTTACCTAGGCACTTTGTAAGACAGCAAACAAGATGTCCAAATTGACAATTCACCTTCTAAAAAGTAGTGTATTAAGAGTAATGAAAAACAACCTATTTCCTTTGAAGTGTGCTGTCGCAGTTCCATTTATTCTTATTCTAGCTAACCCATGGATGTAGCATGTTGATCATGAATATAAAATCTTTAGTGAGAAGCATTTTCTTTTAATCATCGGCTTTCTTTGTTTCTTTCAGATGAGTGACAAAGGTGGTGGTGTTTCCCTGAGTAAGATAGACCGGCTGTTTAGTTACATGTATAGCACAGCTCCCACACCACACTTGGAAAGCTCAAGAGGCACACCACTGGTATGTTTTATTCACCCGTAATTTCTGTTTGTAAATACATTCTGTATACTATGCTCTTTTAATCAATGTTGATGAATTTTGTTTTGCAAATGTAGTCTACTCATTCAGCATTATTACATTTCAGGCTGGTTTTGGCTATGGGCTGCCTATTTCAAGACTTTATGCCAAGTACTTTCAGGGAGATCTTCAGCTGTATTCCATGGAGGGTTATGGAACTGATGCAGTCATTTACCTAAAGGTGAACATCTGTTTTGGGGGCATAAAATATGTATCAATTTTGTTCTCAGTTTTGATACTTCACATTGAAATGCAAACAGTAAGTGGTTACTGTATGCAAAGACACTACTTAATGCAGTTCAACAGTAGATTATGAAAGTGAAATTCAAATAGAGGGGTAAATATTAACCACATGAACACCCTTTTCAGGTGGTGTCATGTGATCCCTTATTACCACCTAATGAGAGATATGTGATTAAAATTCTTATCTGCAAGACAGCAGTTCCAACACTGCAACCAGCCCTCAGTACTATGCTGCGGTGTAGTCCAAATGAGGTGCTTGAGTCTTGAGTATGATTTGAAACCACAAACTTAACTTCAATTACAATAGTGTTACTTCTGAGCTGTGACTGAAATAGAGTTGAAAGGTACGAAATTAAGTGAATATGCATTGCAAAAGTACAATGTAAATCTAATTTTGAATACAGAAGTTTTAAATTATGTATTTTCTTAAGTACTAGTTGAACTGGCCAAAATCTGTTGTGAAATAAACGTGCAACTCATTGTTGCATGTTTTGACAGAACTGTAGTCAACAGCGGCAAGCTACATTTTTACACTTCCTTTCGTATAATGAAACACAAATGAACTGAGAATTAAGAGGGATGAGTTGGATACAGAGTCAAGATGTTAAGGTCTTCTTTTCATACTCGCAGAGCTGAAGAGTAAGGACAGCAAGGTCAGTTAAGGCATTGCATACAAAGAATTACTTTGGTCATTAAAAAAAAAATGATTTGGATATGAATATAGGAGGTATGGTAAGAAAGTTTGTAGATGATGCCAAAATTAGTGGTGTAGTGGACAGTGAAGAAGGTTACCTCAAAGTACAATGGGACCTTGATTAGGTGAGCCAAAGATGGGCAGATGGAGTTTAATTTAGATAAATGTGAGGTGTTGCATTTTGGGAGGGCAGATCAGGGCAGGACTTAGACATTTAATGGTAAGGACCTGGGGAGTGTTGCCGAACACAGATCGTGGTGTGTAGGTTCATAGTTCTTTAAAAGTGGAGCTGCAGGTAGATAGGGTGCTGAAGAAAGCCTTTGTATGTTTGCCTTTATTGGTCATGCATTGAGTACAGGAGTTGGGAGGTCATGTTGAGGCTGTACAGGACACTGGTTATGCCACTTTTGGAATACTGCGTTCAGTTCTGGTCTCCCTGTTGTGGGAAAGATGTTGTTAAACTTGAAATGGTTCAGAAAGGATATACAAGGATGTTGGGATAACAAGTGTAGAGCTGGATGAACACAGCAGGCCGAGCAGGAAAGCTGACGTTTCGGATCTGGACCCTTCTTCAGAAAATGAGGATGTTGCCAGCATTTGGGGATTTGAACTGTAGGGGGAGGCTGAGGGGTGACTTTGTAGAGATTTATAAAATCATGAGGGGCATGGATATAGTGAATTTGCTAAGCTCTTTTTCCCTGGGTGGGGAAGTCCAAAACTTGAAAGCATGGGTTTAAGGTGAGCGCAGAAAGATTTGAAAGGGACGTAAGTGAGAACTTTTTCACGCAGGTGGTGATGTGTATATGGAATGAGCTGCCAGAGGAGGTGGTGAAGGCTGGTAAAATTATAACATTGAAAAGTCACCTGGATGGGTACATGAATAGGAACAGTTGAGGGATATGGGCCAAATGCTGGCAAATGGACCAGATTTAATTTAGGATATCTGGTTGGCATGGAATGAGTTGGACCAAAGGGTCTGTTTCCATGCTGTACATCTGACTGTGAACAGTACAGTACAGGAACAGGCCTTTCAGCCCACCAAGACTGTGCTAACACACGATGCCTTTCTAAACTAAAAACCTTTTGCCTCTACGCTGTCTGTATCCCTCTCTTCCTTGGTTGTTCATACATCTGTCAAGAGCCTCTAAAACATTGTTATTCTATCTGCCTCCACCACTGCCTCTGGCAGAGCATTCCAGACGCTTACCACCCTCTATGTTTTAAAAAAAAAAAAAAAAAAAAAAAAACTGCCTCTCATCTCCTTTAATCTTACATGTTTTTTCCCTTAAGCTTATGTCCCCTAGTAATCTAGTCATTGACATTTCTACTGTGAGAAAAAGCTTCTGAATATTGATTCCATCCATGCCTCTCATTACTTTGTTTACTTCTATCAGATTGCCCCTCTTCCTTCAATGTTCAAGTGAAAACAAGTCAAGTTTGACCAATCTCTCCTCATAGCTAATACCCTCCAAACCAGGAAACATCCTGATAAACTGTCTGTACCCTCTCCAAAGCTTCCATAACCTTCTAGTAATGTGGTGACCACAACTATATGCAATATTCCAAATGTGGCCTAAATTATATACAACTGCAATATGACTTGCCAATTTTTATACAGTATGTCCCGATTGATGAAGGCAAGCATATCATCTTATCCACTTGCTTTAGCACTTTCAGGGAACTTGTTAACCTGTGTGCCTAGATCCCTCTGTACATTGATGCAGCTAAGGGTTCTGTATATTTCCAACCTGCATTATAACTTCTAGAATACATCACCTCACATTCGTCCTATTTATACTCATCTGCCGTTTCTCTGCTCAAGTCTCTAGCCTATGTATACCCTGCTGTGTCCTCTAGTAATCCTCCTCACAATCTGCAGCCCCCCCAGTATTTATGTCATCTGCAAACTTATTAATCGGGCCACCTACGTTCTTCTCCAAATCATTTATCTGTATTGCAAACAATGCTGGGGCCCCTATTGCTCTGTGTGGAACACCACTGGCCACAGATCTCCAATCTGTAAAACATCCTTCCACTGCTATTGTCTTTTTTTTATGACTAAGCCAGTTCTGTATCTATCTTACCAGTCTCACATGTGACTTCACCCTTTGTATCAGCTTGCCACAAGGGATCTTGTCAAAGGTCTTGCTAAAGTCCATGTAGACCAACATTTACTGCTCTGCCTTTAATCAATCATCTTTGACACTTCTCAGAAATTCAACCAAGTTTGTGAGACATGACCTTCCTGCACAAAGCCATGCTGTCTATCTGTAATTCCATATTTTTCCAAATGTGAGTGTGAAATCTATCCCTAAGAATCTTCTACAATAATTTCTCTACCACTGATGTAAGATTTACCGGCCTGTGATTTGCTGGATTATCCCTGCTGCCCTTAAACAAAGGAACAACGTTAGCTATTCTGTATTCCTCTGGGAGCTCTCCTGTGACTAAGGATACAACAATTTCATACAAGGCCCCAGCAATTTCCTCACCAGCCTCCCTCAGCATTTGGGATATATTCCATCAGGTCCTGGGGACTTGTCTACCTTAATGCTTTTCAAAACGCCCAGTACCTCCAATTTTATATTGATTATCAACGTAAGTCTCCCGAGACTCACCATCCACCATACCTTTCTTCTTTGTGAATATTGATGAAAATACCTCATCCACTTCCAGCTTCATGTACAAGTTCCCTCCTCTGTCCTTGAATGGACCAACCCTTTCCCTAGCTATCCTAAAACGCCTTGGGATTTTCCTTAATCCTATTTGACAGATATTTCATGGCACCTTTTTAGCCCTCTGAATTGTTTATTTGAGTCTGAATTGCATACAATAAGAGCTAAATAATGGGAAATTATGCTACTGGTCATTATTAGGTAGGTGGAGAGAATTTGTGCAAGATGATCTAAATCAAGATTGAAAAGGCAGAGTAGAGTTCCAATAACAGCTTATTTCTAAAATCTCTAAAGTGGCAAGCTTTTGTGTGAAGGTTAGGTTGTACAGATGGCAGCGGGTTGGCCTCAATATTTCTGGATCTGTGTCCAGACACAGTTTAGTCTGTGGAATGTTCTTGGCTCTCTTCTTTTCCCAAATCCAAAGCTTTTTGCACCTAGTAAATTTAAAGGTTAGTGTTAGAACTGATGTAGAATACTTATGAAATTCGCACAGCCCTAGCCAGACATTGTCGCATGAGAAATCGATCCCTCATTCGGAGATGGTGCTCTAGTTGGAGGTTGAGCAAGCTTTCTGCAAAGCAAATATGAATCAGATGTGGGTTATTCTAGGCCATGCAGCAAGTTATTAGGCTCTATAATAACTGGTCCAATAGCATTTACTTTCTATTAGAGTCATACAGATATACAGCATGGTAACAGATCCTTTGGTCTAACTGGTCCATGCCAGCCAGTATCCTAAATAAATCTAGTCCCATTTGGCCCATATCCCTCTAAACTCATTCTATTTATGTACCCATCCAGATGCCTTTTAAATGTTGTAATTTTACCAGCCTCCACCACTTCCTCTGGCAGCTCATTCCAGACACGCACCACCTTCTGTGTTTTTTAAAAAAAAAAAATTGCCCCTTGCTACATCATCTTTTTAATTGTTTTTTGCATATTTTGCAGCAAAATCTTATCTCTTTCTGCATTAAAGAAAGTGATAAGATTTTGCTGCAAAATAATATTCATATTCCAATCAAATTTGCTTGTGATTATGTAAATAACTGGGAGAAAATTCTTGATGGCACAGGACATGGTTTTGGTGCAAAAAACGTTGAACTTGTAATGAATAGATCTAGAACTGTTTCCAAAATTTTGATTACTTGAATCAGATGAAAACCTTTTCTGCTTTTGGCTAGGTCGTCTTTTTGTCTAATAGATCTTGAAACAAGATGAAATCAGTGTTTGATTTCAGAATGCAAACTAATCAAATATTGGCCTTGATTGCATACAATTAGCACAACAGCAAGGACAAAACTATTAAACTGGAGCAAATCTGAGTATTTTCTAAATCAGGCAGGTTCTGAACCCTGATGCTTGTGTTCAGATACAAAATTATCTGTGCAACAGCGTTTTACTACCTGTTCAGTAATGAATGGTGAACATTTTAGCTTTGTTGCTTTGCAGCACAACAAATCAGATCTGAGCCTAATTTGGGCCAGTTTCTTGAATGCTTCTCGAGCATGATCATAGCTGTATAACTCTGGATAATTGTGAATCGACAACTACTTTTCCTTGCTGCATCCTTCTGACTGTGCTTAATATAGATGTGATGTGGTCACGATATGTCACATTTTTAACTAAAACTTTATCTTGTATCAAGAATTATTAAAATTGACTGCTGTGCACTGTGATAAATTTAAATTGGTTTTACCATTGTATTGTTTTCAGAGAGCAGAGTCTAGCTTTATCTAGATAAGTCCCAAGTCCTTTTGTAAAGTAGAATTTTGGGAAAGTGCAGCCACTGTGACATCTGTCCAAAAAAAGTGAGAATTGTAACACATTTATGGTTTAACTCTTCTAGCTTGTCTAGAGGCAAATTGGTCATGCATAAATTACTCATTTAGCTAAAAGCATCTGATAAGAGAAACAACAATTGTGACATATTTTCTCCCAAATCCTTCTGTATTTAGTGACAGCTGATTGAAGTATGGTTGAATAAGTGTTTCTAACAGTTCCAAATTACTACTTTCATACTATGTAGAAGGTAATTCAGTCATAGTGAGCAACCTTTAAATTTATTGGTACAGCTTTTCATTTTTGGAATAAACTTCTTGTGGGATCTGTAATACTTCGAATTTGGGGTGATGTGCTGTGATTCCTTTTTCTCCATCTGTTTCCGGTCAAGGCCTGACTGAGACTGCCAATGATGTCTTGTTCTGAGGAAAGAAGCAATTTTTTCTTTTCAGTCCACCAGTCTGCATTAGGTAAACACTAATGACACTGTTTAGTCACCTTGCCCTGTCAACATTTGAGCAAAGTGGACAAATGTTGAGTTTGAAAGTTCACAATTCCCTGCCAGAAAAAGGTATTGAGGCAGGACGTTTTTGATTCCTGTTGTTTATTACAATTAGCTTAAGTGGATTTTTGGTAGGTAATTTGCATGCTTATTCTGATTGCATGTTTACTAATTAGTATTGTTACATCCCTTTCAGGCTCTATCAAAAGACTCAGTAGAAAGACTACCAGTTTATAACAAATCTGCTTGGCGACATTACCAACATAGTCATGGGGCTGATGATTGGTGTGTACCTAGCAGTGATCCAAAGAACATGGCTGCACACAAGATTCAGCAATGATGCACAAGCTCATCGGTTCACTGGTATAGAAAAGAATAAAAATAACTCTATTTTTACAAGGTCAGTCAGCCATGACATGGAATTTTTAGACTATAGAATGGCTCTTTCGAGCATTTGATAACATAGAAGCAATAATTAAAATGAGGAATCTTCTCAAATGATTAACCTAGAGTTGATTCTAAAGAAGTTTTTGTCTCATTTTATTTTTGCGGAATGCTGTATCCCTCTTGAGAGTCGAGAGATCTTTATTGATTTATTGTGGCATTGTTTAGTGTTTAAGCTTCAAGCGTCAGATTATAGAAAAAGCACATTAGGTAACATTAAAGATTCTGGTTTGAGTTCTAAGCTAAAACTGTAGGTAAAGGTATCAGTAGTCCAGAGAAGTCTGGGCTGCTTCTCACCAGTAAAACAGCTATGAAAATTCAAATTTTGAGCCATACGTTACAAAGAAGAAATATCCCAAACTTGAAACTTAAAATGCAGCCATGTACTATACAAATTATTGATCTAAAATGATGACATTTAACAAACCAATAAGCTAAGATGCATTTAAAATACCTTAGTATAATTGAGTTAAATTTGCATTTTTTTTTAGGGGTGTATGTGTTTACTTTCTATGAATAGGTGATTCTAAAATCATATGGCCTGTATCCATCACTGACTCTTAGACTACTTTTGAGTTCAGTTAGAATTAAACCCTGAAATGTAGAAATAGTTCTGAAATTCAGTTTGTCTCGCTACCTTTGTTATTTTTCTTAGGGCCTTTTAGCTCTGGTTTTTTGCTGCCTTCGGGTCCTTTAATTTCAAGTATTGACTTTGCATCAGTGACATTTTGACCAAACTCTATGCATGCAATCCCTTTCATGGGAAGAAGGGTTTCCTATGTTAACTTGATTTCAATTCTTAGACTATATCTTGTTCTGCATTTTTCTAGTAGAGGGAACATTCTTTGTTAATTGCTTTTATTTACATTACTTTTATATTTCAAGTTTGCTCAGCCCCTTCAACCTTTGATATTTTCCTGGTCATTCACTGCTGGAATTTTTCCAAAGTCACAAATCTTATTCTGTTCAGTTTAGTGTTTATGATATATTTTGACCAGTACTATATATGATTGAACCACTTCTTTTTTAATATTCTAAATTGTCGTGATGAAGTTCAGTGTCACAACATTTTATATAATGAATTTTTGCCCATGTAAGCTATTTTTGTTTTGACCACTAGACCCCTAGAACCCTTCCTTTCATTTGCTCTTTTCCCTTTGCCTTGCCACTATCCCCTCCCCAGGGCTTTGCTGTTATAATCCTATCAGAAATGCTTTCTAAATTTATTTTTTTTAAATTTCAACTGCCCCTCAGCTTTACAACAGTCTGCTCCCTCGAAAGTTTACACTACCTCTTTGTATCAACTGTAGATGCTGTATCCCAATTTCTTTTTTCGTAAATGTATTGGTGGAATGCTATCTGTTCCTTTTATCTGTATATACATTGTGTGTAAATCTGTATATGTGCTGAATGTAAGATGTGCCAAAGATGTTTATTAACAAAAAGTGAATTGTTAGCCTTTTAAATTGTTCAGCTGTTGCAATATGAATGCTTTTTTTAAAAAAAAAATTAGAGCACAACTCTTGTAAATCCTAAAATGATTGATTAAACCTAAATTTTGTTTGATTTAAAATAATTTAGTTTTGAGAAGATTACAATACGTCTCATTTTAATGTGAATTTACATAATGCATGACTGCCATCTTTGGTTGTGTGCGATTACTATCAGCTCTGACTTTATTCTTCACAATACTGTGGCTCATCATTGTATATTCATATTCATCAGTATTATATGTGTATTTGGAAATACATCATGTCAATATAATTGTTTCAAGGACAATTTTTCTCAAATTTCAACTTTGCAAATTTGGTTCAAAATTCAAACTTTCAGAAAGCATTTAAAATTTAAATTAATAACTATCTGATCTGGCCATATTTCTGAGAAGCGCAAGGTTTGAATCATCGCAATTACAATTGTAAGTGATGTATAATTTTCAACTAGATAGAAAGAGGAAGATTACCCTAGTTGTCATACAAATCAAATTCTTCAGTTTGCTCTAGGACCTGGAATTATGGTGAATGCAGGTTCAGTAGTGGCATTAGATGATTATTTGGATTGAAATGGTGTGCAGGGATATGGGGAAAAGGCACTAGGTAACAGAACTAGTGCAAGCATGATGGGCTGAATGTGCTATAACAAGTGTGATTTATTTAAGCAAAACTCTTAAAGGTTTGAGTACACTATTTATTGTAGATGCACCAGAGTTCCTTTTTTTAAAATTAAATAATGACCAAAATAATGGTACCAATTGATTCAAATTGGGCTTTCACTAATGGAAGCTTCACACACTATTCATGGGATGAACATGTATACAAAGAGTGGACTACTGTGTTTTGAAGTTGCTGTACTTTTCATGTGCAGGAATGAAAACATACCCAAATGTTGGCTTCTATAAATCCTGAAGTATTAATGTAAAAATGAAGAGTAACAGTTGTCAATTTTAGAATGTGTATCTAAATATTTGAGTAAGCAATAAACTGGATCACTTGAACAAACTTTATTTTTGAGTAGATTCTTTATCTAGGATATTTTCTTTTTCTTCATCTGCTGTTAAAAAGAGTAATCTAGACTCAAAATATTAGCTTGCTTTCTCTCCATGGATGCTGCCTGACCCTCTGACCTGCAGCATTTTTTTTTTGTTTTGATTTTCAGTTCAGATTCCAGCATCTGCAGTAATTTGCTCCTATTTAATTTCTGTTTCCCCCTCCCCTCCCCATTTTTTTTTTTGACTGCTTCATTTACTTGATTATAAATTGGCTATTTAAACATGAGTTAGATTCTGGTTCTGTTTCTATTAAATTATCTAGAAATGAAATATTCAATCAAGTTCTACAAATAAATCATCCACATGATGTACTTTTCACTTTTGGTTTTGTTGACATGACAGTTATGCTTTCAAAAGAAAAAGCATTTCAGGTCCTATTTTTCATTTGTGTTAATGAGATTAGTAACAGCAACTGTCAGCAAAAAAAAAAACTGTGGGGTGTGGCTGCTGTGCCAGCTGTACAAGGTTCATTACTTCCAGTATGTTGGGTCAAGGAAAAAGTAATCCATCATATGTACAGTTTAGTGATTGCACTTTGAAATAAGTGACAGAGAAACCCTCAGACTTTTGATCGTGTACAATAAAATTAGGATTTCTGATTATTATACATGAAAAGCATGGCAAACTTTTCCCAATCTGGAGAATATAGAATTCTTTTTATTGAATGCTATTTGGCAAATTGCTTTATACTGTCTTCCTTGCTGGAGATTCCAGTCATTGCTGTTCACATTTTGTGGGTTAGGTGCAACTCTGCCCATAAAAGATTTCTTGCAAAACACACTGTTAGTTTTCTGATCCTATTTCTTTGAATACACCAGGCAGAACAAATCTTGATTTTAATCTAATGTGTGAATTTATGACAAATTGTGGTGTACATAAACAATAACATTTATTTATAATGCCTGTTTTAACTTTTAAATAATGATGTACAGCCCATTATTCAATATTACTAATTTTCTAGCAACAAGTTGGTATATCCTTGTTTTTTATACTGCCTACTTCAAATCACTGAATCATTTTTAAAAATCAGTGAATGTAACATGACCCAATCGAAACTACTGCCAGTCTCTGAAGCCTTAACCAGATCAGTTACTGTAAGTTTATTTTTAAGGTAGCAGAAGCTAGAAAAAAAATCTTGATTTTGAACACCGGTCTTGAGGATGATAATATTGGTACACTTAGCGATCTTGAAACTGGAAGAACAGAAACTTGGGTGTTATAAGAACAGTCCATGCTAATGGAATCAAGGAGTCTGAATTTTCAGGAAAGAGAAAAATCTGGAGGGGAGGAATCAGATCCTTACAATTGTACATATATAATTGGCTCTAGGGTGTCTGTGCTGGGAGGAAGAAAACCCCTCCGGCATAGTTGATGTTTCAGAGTATATAAATCGTGATATATTTGCATAGACAAGCCAGTAAATTGCTGGACACATTATGAATATCAACTAGACTTAAAAAAAACAAAATTAATGCTCTGGTTCTTGCTCATTGTTCTTTCTTTTGCTAAATAATCTTGTGCAGTGGTTGCTTCGAAGAATTCTAGAGCATTACTTCATGCTACTTCACAGCATCATGCAACAATGAGCGTTGTACCAAACTAAAACAAAGCTGATTAAATTTTACATGATTAAATGTTAGAAAGTACTAAATATTCAACTTTTATATGCCATATAAATTAGAACATAAGACACATGCATTGGTTAAGAGGAGAAATTAGACTGCATTATTGATCATGGACTAGTTTTGATTATGGGCCCAATGAGTATGGGATTGTTCTAATGTTACTTGTCCGATATCTTTGGGTATTTTTCTCAATAATGAGAAGTCTTAGGCTCGAGCCTCATCTGCATGGATCTGAGCATATTTCAGTTTCTTCAGTGAAAAATTCAGACAAGTTGAGTTGAGTCTTAGCCAATGTCTAGTAAGTATCAATTTTAGTGAGTTTCATGCAATGTTTCTTTCCACAAGTTTTCTTATTTATCTTCCCAAACTCATTGCATTAACTATGCACAATGGTGTTATAGCGTACCATTCGTTGTATTCTCCCAAATGCCGTAGGCAGAAGTACTTACCATTGCCAGGACATCCTGCGATTCCTGGTGCTGACACCATATTTAGAAGGCGGTGGTGCACCAGGTCAAGTGGTGACAGTCTGGAGAAGCCTGACAAGGTTTTTGTTTTTTTTTGTCCTCTGCACAGCAGAAAAGAAAATTGTTACCTCAGGTGAATTGCATACCACAGGTGACACTTTATAGATTACCCGTGTTTCACAGATTACTAGGATTGATTTGTAATGGGAAATGTGTGATTGCCTGTGCTCAGGATTTGTAACCAATAGGAGGTGGTCAGTGCGTGTTCTACACAAGCAGAATTGTGGTTACAGATGACTTTTTAACCTGGAATGTGACTGCCTAATTAATTCCATAGCCTCTTGAAGGGCCTCGCATCACACAAGTCAAGCCTATTCCTACAGACAAAAACACATGTTTATCCAGTCTGGGTTTGCTGGCAACCATATTTTTTCGTTAGGCAGTCGTGATTTGGATGAAGCCAGCAACACAGCTAGCATTCCAGAGAGTGAGCTGCTGTCTTCACATGTTATTCTCATGCCTCTCCACCCCAACCTTAACAGTCCTTTTCTTTTAATGGGTTGCACTGACTGTCAACCCCAACCTCACGCTTTTATTTAACTCTTATCTCCCTAATTTAACCCCATGTCTCAGACCTAGTGTTACGTTATATCTAACACACTGGCACACTGACTCCCCATGGAAGCCAGGGTGGTGATGAAGATCAATAGCTGTGCCCCACAGTTCTCCATGCCTTCCATGCTCTATTGTCTCCCACCTTTAAGGGAGACATATTTCAACATATATGTCCCCTTTGTGGTGACCCCTGACCGACCTGGAATGACAACACACTGATGATTCATCAGACTCTGACTAATCTCTGTGCAATTTTGACTGATTTACTGCTAATCCCAGACTTATTAGACTCCACCTGTAGAAGTTATTTATGGCTAACTCCCCCAGTATGTAATCACACAGATTCCCGGACCCTGATTGCACCAAACAATAAAATGACCACATCCAGCTTCCTGAACTGGGAACTGATGATGTCCTTGACTAATTGTGCCAGGACATTCTGAATGACTATTGTCCCCTTTGAATCATGGGCTGCTCCCTTTAGACTTTCAGGTGTGGTGCCTTGGCTGCTCACTAGTAACATTCTCATTGTGGAAAATTGGACTTCTTACGCTTGATGCTGAAAATCTTATTTTTCCATTCTCACTATTCCCCTTGTCATTCAGAAGCTAGGAAAATTCCACCCAACATACAACTATGGAGAGAGAAACAGTTCACTCTATGTACTGATAAAAGGACATCCATAAAATGCACCTGGAACATTAAGCAAGATTTAAAGCATGAAGCATGGGATGAGTCAGTATGCAGACTAACTGACTCCCTTGCTCCACCAGTAGGAAAGCTCATCTGATCAACCTCCAGTTGACCATTTAAGAACTGACTGGTAAACTTCTTACTGCATCATAAACGTTTTTACCGAGATCGTGCAAGCAGCTTCTGCCTCCCAGAAATCATCACTGGAAGACCAGGATTTAGAACCTTAAAACAGTGAAAGAGTAAATGCTCTTTTGTTGGTCACACAAGGTGAGGGAATGGAGTTGGTGTGGGTGGGTGAGTTCTTACAATTAATAGTTCGGTTCAGCCTTCAGTAGCAACCCCTTTACCTTCTATTAGTAATAGATGTCTCCTTTCCCCCAACCCCCTCACCAATTTTATCAAATTCATTTCAGCTTGCTTTTCTCTTTCTTTTCAACCATTGAACGTTGATTCGTTACCAAATAAGTGTGCAGGTACCTATGGTAGAAAATCCCCACTAAATCCATGGTAGAAGTTTTGAGCTGCTGCTGTTAACTAGATCAAATACTCCTTGTTCCCTTTTACGTAGAAATTATTTACTCATGCAGCTACATAAAATGAACATTGAACAATGATTATTACAATCTGTTTAATCCTGCCATGAATCTAGATCACACACACCTTTTGTTAAACCAATAAACCCGAAGAAAGGCTGATCTTGTTTTGAAAATCGAGTAAATATTTTACCTATCACATTTGAAAATGGCCATTCAGCAAAATAAAGTTGAGTTTTTGAATTAAATAAATCAACTCAGAGCACAGAACTCTTATTATAACTACACAAGACCATCTCAATCGTAGTTGAACGTTAGTATATGCTAAGGTTTTCTGTTATTGTTAAGTTGTCAAAATGTTTTTAAAGTATGACTTCCCAAGCTGTTAGATTTTCACACTGTAGGATTTTCTTAAGTTTTTTTTTTAAAAATTAATTTACTACCTTCCTTCACCCCTTTTTTTAGTCAAGATAGTTACATAGACCTGGATGCATGTTTGGCCAGCACTTAACGCTTAAACTCATGCTTGGTAGTTACCAACTTGTCACATTCTACTTACTTGATTTATTTTGATGGAGTAAGTAGCCAGGAATCCTGCAATACATTGGCCCTTCCTACAGCAGAGAGCATAATAATGAGTTTTTTTTTCCTGAGATTACCTTTCAATTCCAGGTTTTATTAATTGAATTTAAATTCTCCAAGCTGCCATGGTGGAAGTTGAACTTTTGTCTTCCAGGCCTCTGGACTACTAGTCCATCAACCAGATCACTGTGCTACCATTGCCTACTCCACATTAACCTGGTGAGGAAAGAATTGTGTTCAGCTGTGATCCCACAATCCTTCCCACAGCTAATTAACTGTCTGGCATTTGCATCTATACTCGTACAGATAGATTGGCCATTTGAAAAGGGTAATTGAAGGCAACAGGTGTTTTTCAAACCAAACCTCAGAAAATGTCCTCACAAGAAGAGAAATAAAGATAATCAGATGTGGAGGTTGACTCAACAGGGTTAT